ACTTGACTTACTTCGTCTCCCTGCTGGTAAAACTCCTCCGTGATGGCGCACGACATAACAAAGTGGTCGGACCAGGGGAGGGCAGTGTGGCAGAGGTCTCCCAATTTGACGCACATGCGCAGGGTGGCCCATCTGTCTTCAGCTGAATTTCGAAAGGAGAACTCTTCGCTTTGTCGCCGCATGCGAAACTTTGAAATATCCTCAAAGTGCTGCTTCATGTCGGTGCTAAGGATACACTCGATGATCTTCGACCGCACAAAACGGAACCCCCCGACCGACAACAAAAAAAAAATATTGCAGTTCCTCCTGCACCACAGTCCGCGAAAACAGTACGTGTTCAGTTGAAACCCAGGGCGCAGCCAGAGGCCCATACGGAGGGACCACGATAAAGGCAGATGCAGCCAATCAAAGAAACATTAGATTGACAGTTATCCACTTGCAAGTGCTCATGGGGGACCATGAACGACCGAGACTGGCCATTCATTCCTCTACTACAGTTCATCGATGCCCCTCAATTAAAATCTCAATTTTATGAGCAGATGGGAAATTTGTGTGTAAGATATGCAACAGAGTAGATGTTATTCGCACCTTTCAAGAATGCGAAAACACAAACAAGAGTGGAAATTCTCAAGAGGGGAGATGTCGTTGTAGATGATAGCCTGTAAACGAACGCAACAAGAAGTCGAAGACAGTATACCCTAAATTCGAGAAATCNGTTGTAGATGATAGCCTGTAAACGAACGCAACAAGAAGTCGAAGACAGTATACCCTAAATTCGAGAAATCACTCCTACTAGACAAGTGCCAACTACAAAAGGTGATAACGCAGCTCCCTGCTAATGCGCCTGTTTATGTATTTAGTCTAGTTCCGCGTCGGCAAGTCGAACAAACGGGCGGTAAAGTGCTTTAACTGTCCACCAGCCGACGAGTATAAGCAACACAGCATTCTATAGCGTTGAAACGCTCACCAATGGGTCAAAGCAAGCCACGAAGAATTGATTGGTGCGGCCGGGATGCCCAACATCGTGAGCCAAGGCGGCAACTGCCAGTGCAGCCTGCTCTAGCGGTTCCATTCTGCATTGCAGAACAACACAACTCTGACAGCCGAGTCATATATGCATATATGCGCACTACTGCGTGTTTATTGATCTACTTGCGCCACGAGTCTAGATGCAGTGGGCGCTCCGCAATCATAATAAGCGAGTAGCAGCAAGCCATTACCTACATCTGCCAAATGCCCAGCATATTCGCGAGGCTAACTGCGGCATGCCCCACCTGCAAGCGCATCCACAATCAAACGAGACAACAATAATTACATATAATAGTAATATACCAAAGTAAATAACAATCATATATGCTAGTAGCAATGGTGTTTGGTGGTTTAGAATGATAATATACAAATAATTACATACAATAACAATTCTAGTATGTAGTAATAACAGGCATCCGGCAGCAGAACTCGAAGCTATGGAAGAACATTTTGACCAAAAGCAGCTGCCCCGCGTTCAAATGAAGTTAAAGTTGTTCATTTTTTCAAGAAAATTTTGAAGAGCTCGATGAGCTGATGAGCCTACCATGGCTGCGTGCAACTGGTTGTGGTAAGGATTTGGCTGATACTGGCACTGCAAGGTACGCAGAAACTGACACAGTTCGTTGTTGCAACAGCCCCAGTCTGTCACTACGGGGCCCAGAAGGGCGGCCCCTACTACAAAGAGAGCATCGTTCACTTCTTGCTCTAGCTGCAAACACATGCAGGTGGAACGGTCGAGAGAGCACCACGTAAACACAACAGCAAGCCCAAAACCCGTTCTCTTAGTCAATCGAGTGTCAAATGCAGCTCCTTGTAGGACGCCGAATGCAGGAAGCACAGAATTATCCATGGCAGTTTGGGTGCAATGAAGTTTAAACTTACGTACGCACTGCTATTACTGCTGCTTCTACTGCTTCTACTCTTGAAAAGTGAGCCACAGACTCAACTGCCCCTCTAAAATAAAAGCTAATGCAATTTTAAACAAACTGTGCAATGAAATTCGCACCTCTAGAACGCTGAACGACCACTGCTTGCCAATAAGATTCATATTGCGCTCTGCCGCGTCCAGAAGCTGCAAAACGACGAAAAGGGGCCACAAAGGAGGAGAATAAGAATTGTTAAAAGCTCATTCATAGCTGTGCAGGCACTCTGCAGAAAATGGATACAAGGCCCATGAATGCAGATCCTTCTCTACGCGCACAGCGTCTGTTTGTTTTGAAGCCTGTCCGTTCTGTTGCTAGCTGTTTAGCCATATATCAAGAACAGAGCCCTAGGCCCTTAACCGTTCAATGCGTCTGGCAAGCAATCTTTTTGTCACATCATGGATGCGTTTACAGCCCGAGCAAACAGTTGTTGAAAAACAACTGCGGCACACATATTCAATGTTTACGGTATGGCGGGCGTGAACAATAAGCAATACCTTCTTCCGCTGCGTAGCTGCCTGCTTCGTTGTGGATTCATCTGCAGAGTCGCTGCTACTGTCACAGGAGAAACCGGAACTCGCTGCACACAGCGGGAGAAACAGCAAAGACGGCATGGCGCTGAGAACTGAAAGAACGTAAACGGACTGAATAACAGCTGCCAGGAAAAACAAGCACTCGCTGTACTTCACGTTCATCTATTCCACATTCATGTATCTGTAAGCATGAATAAACCATGGGAGACGGACCATGAGCGCAAGCGTCAGCTCCCTTGGGATGAACTGTCGACTGC